GGGGTATTTTTATAAACGTTTAAAATAGGAAGTTATAGGTGTTTGCTAACCCGTTTCTTCCCCCTTTCACTTTTATTCATTCCCTTCTTTACTTGACCCTTTTCTATCTTCTTAACAGTTGTGATTTGATTTGAAATAACAATACTTTAAAAGAAATGATAAATCAGTACTGTTTTCAGTAATTTCTTGTTCAAAAGATAAATACCGTATTTTTGCTTTTTGCAGTTAGGGCATTCTTTTGGAAACACTCACTTGAAATTACATTTTCGTTAATCTGTATTGTAATCAAATTCTGTATTTTTTTAAGTAATCTACATAACTTTTAGGTTATATTTATCAAGCCAATGCTCTAAAATGCCAAAGAAAAACATAGTTTTTAATGGCAATTCTGGAAGAATAATTATTCTACATTATGTGATTCACCTATACATGTGTTAGACTGTAATCAAAGAAAGCTAAGTGTTCAAAAAGTGAAGAATGGGCTGACCCCGGTGGCTCATACCTGTAATCCTAGCACTTTAGGAGGCCAAGGCACAAGGATCCCTTTAGCCCAGAAGTTTGGAAGTTCAATACCAGCCTGGGTGACAGAGCTAGATAGACTGTGAACCCCACCTCACCCCACAAAACATGAAGAATGTAATAAATATTAAGATCAAGTTTTATATTCTAAATCTACAAATTAGTTTAACCATTTTCTTCCCAGTTTCTTACATTAATTGAAAGCATATTTACTAGTGCATTAAGACCACCCTTTGCTGACTTTACCTTTCCGTCTAACATTAAACAGCCTAAACATTAATTGTTTCTTTACAAATATATTCAAGGTGCTTAGTTCAAATAACACTAGGTGTCATGTACTTCCCTGAGACCTCTAAAATAAAGTGAAATTTTGAAAGTCCCTTTAATTTAATGCATCTTCCTCAAACTGGCATTTAATTATTATCTGATTACGATATGAAGTATCGCCCTGTGCCCAGGGACCATTAGCAGGGCCCAAAATCCAAAATCCAGGTAGATTTTCTGCTCATCACAGGTTTTACTATGGGACTCTACGTCATCCTGTTCTTGTTCACTAAAAAATACATTTTAGGCAGCTTGTATAGTTTCAGAGAACCAGGTGCTAAAGTCTTCTTAGAGGGTACAATCAGACTGGCAAATGTTTCTACTCTAATTTGACACATTTTTCAGCAGGCATTCACTGATTTCTGGGCCTAGTTGGACAGCTCTCTTTCCAGAAGGAAATTATACTCCTAGGCAATCACCTGGATATATAACAATTTTTTTAACCTATTGAAAATTCCTGAATTTTTCCAGGGCTTCATGGAATCACTTAAAAATGGTTAAGATAGAAATATTTTGACTCCTTTTTTCTCTTCAGTTCCAAAATTTAGGCAGACTTTTGAGACAATTTACCTTGTGGCAGATTATTTACAGAACTCTGCAATTATAATGATGATTGTGATAACAACTTTTTTGTATTTGTTGAGGATATTCATTTTAAGAATGTATTAAGATACTGGAAAAATAGCCAGTCAACATTTACTTGAATCAATGTTAGTATAAAGATGATATGAACTTATTTTAGTCCCTTTATTCAACCACTCATCACCAATATAATATCTGCCTGGGTCATAGGCTAATCTCTATGTAGCATAATGCCAAATCCAATGAGAGTAGATACTCAACCAATATTGGGGATGCAAATGAAAAATGTATATACTGCTAATGAAGCCACTACTCATTACCAATTATGGGATCAAGTTAACATTTTTAAATTTCTGTTGAAGTAAAGAGGATGTCAGCAGACATCCAGAAAGAGGAAATGTCCATCCTTTCTTATTTTCCATTGCTCCACTTACAAAATAATGCAACTTGCCTACTTTGTTTTCTGGTCATGCTTGTGTGTTGTGGTTAGGTGAGGGGTAAGAAGGGTGTGTGAGTGGGTGTGTGTCTACCTTTGGTCCACTTAGTTTTACTACTTTCAAGCTTTAATTGACCTTACTTCCAACTAAAGGGACATATGTTCAAATAATTATAAGCTGTCTTCAATTATTTGCAAACACCAATGTATATAAATATCAATAACAAATTCACTCTGACAAACAAGAAATGCCATGCTTAGCATATCTAATAGACGTCTGGTTGTACTGTTGTAAGTTCTTTCATTGGATTATAAGTTTTACTGGACCATGTAGTTTGATCACAACAAATAAGCTTACTAATTCCTACCTTCTCACCAAAAGTCACAGTGATAACTGAAGGAAGAAGAGGTTTAATTCTAATTTCTAATTGTAATAATGGTGAAAATATAAACTCTAATGGAGTTGGATAGGAAGAACATAGCATCATACTCTAGGAAATCTCTGATCTGGGAACAGTTAAAGTCTTATGACTTTAAGTATTTGAGTTCCAGATGTCCATATATAATTAACACGAATTGAAGGCAAATGTAGTTATATTACAAATAATATGACATAACTTTCAAACTTGAGAAAGTACATTGAAAACAGATGAAAGCAGGCTCTTAGCTCATACTGGCATGAAATAAGACTATCTTATATGGCACAGAGGTGGTGCAGGTATTTACCTGTGTCATTAAACTGAGTTTTGTTGTTTCTCATTAGGTGAAATGACCACAAACTCATCCGAATGCTTTTTGGAGATGAATACGCCCTTGGGTATATCATTTTCTTTTACAAAATAATTAAATAGATGTCTATTGCATGTCATTTAGTTCAGTACTCTGGGAAATAGAATTGTTTCAGATCTACTGGAGATACCCATAGTATATAATTCATCGAGTTACTGAAATGGTAATACATTCAATCTTTGCCTTTTTTCTTCTATTGAAAATACTTTAACACTATGTTTGTGGAGTTAAGTGTAATAGTTTAAATGGATAGGCATAGTTAAATAATAGACTTCTGGAAAGTTATGCTTTCTGACAGTATTTTACTCTATGACTTTTTTCTTTGAGCTCTTAGAAATGGCTGATGGCAGTTCTTTACTGAAGTGTTTTGGCAAGTGGTCATTGACTTTTGACAGTCTGTGGTAATTCAAATAGTAGAGGGGCATTTTATAATCCATAAGAATGCGTTTGCTGTATTATTTTACAGGAGTATTTTACAGAATGAGGAGGCAGTTTTTCTCTTGTTAGTCATCTGTGTGTTTCTTCATTTTCCATATTGTACCCAATCTGCAGTTCTTACTAGGACAAAGCATCCTTTTAAATCAGTAAGAAACAAAATCAAATAAAAAATGCTGAATCAGGCCCCCTAACACCACACTAATTATGCAGTGAATACACAGTACAATTTACAGTAGACCTTTTCAAGATCAAACAATAACGTTGAAAACTCAGTCTATTCCAGGAGTAGGCAAGTCTCCATAAATTTTCTGTTTATCTTTAAAGGCAAATGCTTATTCATTGCATAACACTGAAAGACATGGTTACTCCTACTTAGTCCTCCACAAACATCATTAGCTATTTAGATGACCAATCATTTTTAACTGTGTCCATAAAGTCACTGGAAGGCTTGAGTCTGCAGAGACACAAGAATTCAAATACTTTAAGTAGACTAGATAGAAGAAGAAAACCATATGGGGGATTTGAAGAGTTGTGAGCTGGGAAGAAGGGCTTGATAATTATTAAAATTACCTAAATGTGAAAAGAAAATCTAGGTTTCTCTAAACATTCTTAATTCTTAGTGCTTGCAATGCCTCAGGTATCCTGAAGTAGTTACCCTTATGCCTGCTTATGTATTTCGGTTTTGTGTTTGTGTTTATGTGCGTGTTTACCTGAATGTAGTTTCTCCTGGCAGCAGCGTGTGTTTGGTGTACATGTGCATATGTATGAATATGAATTAATTACATATCGGAAACGTGTGCATTAACAGCATCTGCAGTCCTGCCTCGCTGCTCCAGTCAGTCGGGATGTTTAGCACCGTCACTTGGTGTTAGGACCACTCGGAAGACCTGCCTGTCGGACGCCTGATTGTGGTTCCCGGGGGGCCGGAGCTCCGGGAGCCTGTACCATCTCTATCTGAAGGGGAGGAGAGAAGGAGAAGAGAAGGCATCCGAGCGAGGGTGTTCTCCTCCTCGCAGCCGGGTGGGGGGCAGCCAGGTTCGGAGCAGGGTTCTAGGATTACACGGCAAATCCCCAACTTCAGCACCGCGGACAGCACCACCTCCCGCCCCGGGAGAGGCGCGCGTCTCCTTCCTCCGCCCCCGCCCCGGCTGATGGACTCCGGCGGGTCGGCTCAGTCTCCCTTTCGCTTTCAAACGAGGCCAGGGCAGGGCAAGAGGGTTTTGACAGCCAGAGGGGTACGGTAAGGAGGAGGAAGAGGAGGCGGAGGCGGAGGCGGAGGAGGAGCCGAGGAGGGGAACGAGAAGGGAAGAGAAGGGAAGGCTTCCCTCCGCCTCGCTCGCCGCCCGGGCTCGCAGCTCCGCCGCCCGGGAGACGCTTCCCCGCGCCGCGCAGCGCTGAGGCCGTGCGTGCGCCCCGGGTGCGCGGCGCGCTCCCCGCATACACAAGCTCTCCATGTGAGCTGGCGGGCGACTGGAAAGCCCCCGAGTCACGCTGCCCGGCGGCGGAGGGAGCGCTCGCCCGCAGCGGCAGCAGCAGCACCCGCGTCCCCGCCGCTCTGCCTTCCTCTTCTGCAGCCTCCGCTCTTCTGAGTGTCCCCTCCCCCGTCCTGTGCTGATTTTTTTTTTTTTTTTTTTTTTCCGAGAAGGAGAGGGAGGGGTGGGTGTCCGTCCCCTCCTCGCTCCCCCCTCCTTTGCCTTCCTGGTTTGAATTTCCTCCCCCGGCATTGCACTGGCACACAGCAAGAGGCAAGACCCGCACGGAGGGAGAACGAAGGCTGAGACTCCTCTGCCGCTCCAAGCCCAGAACTGGAGCCTGGAGGGGGGGTGAGGGGAGAGGAGGAAGCGGGAGGGGCTTGGCTTCCTCGCGTATTTGAGGACAGCCCATCTCCCTTCCAGAACCCTACGGAGAGACGGACTGCATCTCCGCAGCGAGCTTGAGGAGCGCCGCCGGCCGGGAGGCGAAGGATGCTGGCGGCTCCGCGCACCGGCTGCGGGGCAGCGCTCCTGCTGTGGATTGTCAGCAGCTGCCTCTGCAGTGCCTGGACGGCTCCCTCCACGTCCCGTAAGTAGCCCTGTCCTCGCTCTGCGCTGGAGCAGTTTCAGTGCGGCACTGATGTTTGGCACCAGGGTATCAACTCCGAAGTGCCTTGGCAGGGCTCGCACCCTGATGTGTGTGTGTCTCCGCTGTCACACACTTGGAGCCACTGCAGTGGACAAACTCAAAACCCAGTGTTTCTGATTTGGAAGAGACGGGTTGTGACGCGGGTGTTGTTTCTGGAAAGTTGTTCCTGGTCTTGGTGATCGGCTGGCAACAGCTTGGTTAGAGAGATTGGTGTAGATGGCAGTTTCTTAGGAGTTGTTTGTGCAGAGAGTTAATTGCATTTTGCTTAGGTAGGTCAGTGAATGAAAAGTGAAGACCATGGCAAAACCAAGTTTCTTATGTTTATTTATTGATATAGCTTAATGATCACGGAGTTGAGGTTAACAAGAGGAGCATATTTTAAACACTTTGGGTACCTACAGAGTCTCTTTAACCGCTCCAGTCCCCTTAAAAAGTTAATGCCCCTTTAGTACTTGCTTGTTAAAATGGAAGGCAGTGAATGTAATCTCGTAACTGAAATTGCTTTAATTCCTTGATATTTTGATATCATGGATATGACTGATGCAGCATGGGACTTGGGACAGTCAGTGCAAAGCGTCGTTAATGTAGCAATGAGGAGATTCTTAATAGAGTTTGCAGGAAAATAATTCTATTCAGTATGTATATCTCTGCATTTTAATCGTGTGTGTGTGTGTGTGTGTGTGTGTGTGTGTGTGTGTGTGTGTGTGTTAAGATTGCCCATGTTTTCATGAGGCTTAGAAAGAAATGGAAGATTCTGGCCCATTTTCTGCATTCCTTTAGGAGTGCTTACCCTGTACGTAGAGAGGAAATGCATGATTGTTCCTTTGGTTCGGAAAGAGTTAAACACTAGAAAGACTGCCTATAGGAATCTTAGGGTAATATTCATAAGCGCATATTTGTTTCTGAGAATAAGTAAGTTGATAAAGAATTATCGTGGAGTGTAAAGAATTATCATGGAGTCTAAGAATTATCAGAGTGTAAAAAGAAATGTGTTTTGTTTTTGGTTTTTTTTTTTTTTTTGTCCATTTAGGAAAGGAAAAGTTTAACGTTTTCCAAAATTCCTCATATGTGAAGTAGTCTTCTCTTTGTTTATAAGATTTGTGGATGTATTAATGCATTTTTGTTTACATGTTAATAATGTTATTATCCTAGTGTCAAATATCAGTAGGAATAGCATTGAAAAAGGACTTTATAAGTTGTGATAAGGAATCTACTATATAATGGTATCATATGATGAACCAGTATTATTGTTTTCATGTATCTTTCTAAGTGCAGTATTAGCTTTTCTTTTCTCACAATGTTTAAGGATAAGGAGATAAAATAAGTGGCAATCTAGGTTTGTAATGAACTTGAAAACATTTATATAGCATTTTTTATAAAAAGTTAAACCACAAAAAGTTAGTGTATATATTTATGTCAATTTTATAAACTTAAACAGAAATTGTGGAGATATAATGCTTGCTGTTGATATTTGCGCAAATATACAACTCTATCATTGGGAAACTAGTTTGATGAAATTTCTATTTCCTTTTCAAGGTCTGGTTAAGTAGAATTTGCTGCCACTTTTCTTGGAAAATAAACTCCTTATATGTTAAATTTCTTATATTCACTGGTTGAAGGTCCTCCTATCCAGGGTTTTTCCTGGGTTCTGTATTTCATCCTTTTATATACTTTAATTATGATTAATTGGTCTGAAACGTTTGCCATGTGTAGCAAATGAACACTGGCAGCCATTGGGTTAATGCATTTTAAGATAGAAAAAGTTGTTATTTCAGAAATATTATCTGTTTTTAACTATTTAGTTAGAATTTGAGGATAGAGAACATAGAAACAATTACTTTAAAGATGGTTAATAGTTACGTTTATTAAGATATATTTATTAATTTGGTTTTTCTCTATTTTGAAAAATGTATAATGGTTTAATTAAGGTGGCTTTTTATTTCATTTGAATTTAAGCTGTGTGACCAAAATGCAAAGTTGCCCTATATCCTGGAAACGAATTAAATAATAAAAATGATACAGAACTTTATTGATTAGAATGAGCTTCATGGATTCAGTACTTTAAATATCAATTGTAATTTACATTAATGAACATTTTTACTTAGATTATATATAGCTCTGAAGGAGAGTATGATAGTTATATTCTTAATACTAAAAACATTCAAAGGAGAAAAAGATGGAACTACATGAATCTAAGATAATGAGCAACTCAACCAGGAGAGGTCATCACAAGACAAAAAGTAGCATGAAAATCTAAAACTTTCATTTTTCTTTGATACACATTTTTAAAATGTGATGAGTATGCTAAAACTTTCTGTTCCTAAATACCTTTTTAATATGAGGGACATTATAGAAGATACTGTTAATACTTTATTTCACAACAATTCCATTTCAAATATGTATTTGCTTATAGCTTCTTTTTCTCTGTCAACACACATATAAAAACTGTTAATTCTATGTTTTGTACAAGACTAGAATAAACTTTAAAACAAAGCTCATCTCTATTGGTTATATAAAAATATAATCCAATTTCTTTGTACATAGTGAAAACGAACTACTGGTGAGCTGATGGGATGAATTGTATATCTTCCCTTCCTGTAAATGTAGACACACGAGACACACATGGGAAGTTTAAAGAGAACCTTTTACTCTTAGGGAGTTGCATTTATTTGAGCATACTAGAAAGACCCTGACAGTGCTGTTCTAAATGAGGAGGAGTTTGAGCTAGCATTTAATAAATTCACTTTTTAAAGTTAACTGAATTTTTAACTAAATAAATGATCTCCCATAAAGGTCAATTTATATCATTTATAGAACTATTAACCTATAATTTCATTGACCATCACATTTGGGAAATGCACGTTGAGTGGATTCAAATATTCTCTAACAAATATGATTTTATACATGTGTATATACACACACATTAATACATGTGTGTATAAATATATATATGCATATATATATTATAAAAACATTTGAATTCATGTTATAAAATATATAGATACATATTTAATATACTATATACTAAATATTATAAGTAAAAATTGGTAGATTTATATATTTGCTAACACATCATTCAAGGAATTTAAGTTATTTACAAATTTATAGAGAGATCTCCAAGTATCTAGTGCAACAGTATTAAGCAATACTCTATTAATCTATTTTCTCTTCTTCAATTCATGTATTTCCCAGAAAATGGTATAAGTGTAAAATATGTAAATTGATATAAAAGCAAATATTATTAGTTTATAGAGACCTTGAATATAGTAATGAATTTGTCTTAATAAAAACAATTTAAATTTGAAAGGAGTTTTAGGCAAGCAAAATTCATTGGTTGATAAGTATAGTACATTGTTTACTTAATGCAAATTAATAATATTATTATTAACTCATTGGAAAGAAATACATAACCCTTATTTCATTGTAGGCATGTATATTCTTGAAATAAGAATTATTGTTCAACTTTTACTCTTTACCATAAATGTATGGCAAAATTGGGTAAAAAAAAAAAAATTAATCCACAAATTTAATTTAGGTCTTATTAACCTTTATGTGGTTATAAACCTACAACATATCATTTTAGATCATACCAAAGTTCTTTGGTGCACGTCATACTTTAAATCTTACGTTTCTAAAACAGTTATGTGCCCCATAATGACATTTCAGTCAATGATGGACCATATGTATGATGGTGGTTCCGTAAAATTATAATGGAGCTGTCATATATAGATGTGCGCTCTTTCATTTTGTATATTATATATGTACTGTATCTTTTTACACAGTACTATTATATTTGTACTGTGTTTAGATATGATTAGATACACAAATACGCATTGTGTTATAATTGCCTGTAGTATTCAGTATGGTAACATTCTTTACAGGTTTGTAGCCCAGAAGATACAGTCTATACTATGTGTGAAGAAGGCAATACCATCTAGGTTTGTGAGTGTGTACTCTGTAATGTCAGCACAAGGGCAAAATTGCCTGGGGGTACATTTCTCAACACATATCCCTATTGTTAGGTAATGCATGACCATATGTATTTTTTTTTTCTATTTTAAGTGGCAAAATCTTTCAAGTTCTATAAATTCTCTGAAATTTGATTCATTTTTCCCAATTAGTAAATTCTTCTAGACAAAAACTTAATCAAATCTCTTAAAGTTTACATAAAGCTTCTTGTCTTGTGATTCTTTTTTATGATTGAAAGAAAAGAAATGTGACATGTCTACACTTGTTCTTCTCTTTTTAAGAAGTAGTTTTTTGTATTTGTTGTAAATGGTATACAGAATTAGGAGAGAATCTAGGCTCAGACAATCTTAATTCAAATGTGTTTTCTTTAAAATATTAAACATATGGAGATCCAACTTGTGCAAGTTGTCTGTGTAGTGATTGATGTCAGTGGGATGAAGAAATAAAATACGTACTTTAAAGATTTTCCCATATCTAGTCATGATCTGAGAAGTGCTTTACTTTATCATTTTTTACTACCTGCAAAGTTATAAAACAGGGCATACAGTAATTTTAAGCCTCAAAATCAGCGTTGCGTAAAATAAAATAAATTTTATATTTATATCTCTACCAGTATCTGAAATTGGTTGTTATCAGTTTCGAGAGAGATACATATTTTAAGATAAACAGTTATCAGATACATAAGGTATATTTCTACAACCATTCAATATTGGGCTGCTGATATAAATTATATGCTTATTTCTGCCATTTTAATAAGTAAGAATAATCATACAATCGTCTGTATAGAGATGTTAATTTTCAAATGAAAGCCTTGAGAAGAATACTTGTAACAGAGTGATTCATTAAAACACTGGATTTTCCCATCTCCTGGGCTCTATAGAACCTGTGAGTTTTAGTTCTGACCAGATAAGGATGTTGGAATGTGGAGATGCTACTACCTCTTTCTTCATACTAACAGTTCCTTTGATGGG